ACCTGTTAGAACGTCGTAAAGGGTGGCTGCTATGGGCGCTGATCACGAATATCACGTTAGTTTTGATCACAGATGATGTCTATGCATTTAGGCCAGGTCGGGTCAGGTCAAGTCAGGTCAACCAGTACCTAGGGGTCCTGCCGAGCCGGACACTAGAGGTGCTGTGGGATCTGAGTGCCAGCGGTCGGCCTATAGGCCGCACTATAGTGCGGCAGCTACTAATGGGTCGGGCCGAGGCTATACGTGGAAACACGTGCCACATATGCGGGGCTGAATCACACCACGTGGATGACCGATGTACCCTAGCAGTAGCACCCCCAGATTCGGTAACGCCTTCGGTAAAAGCGGCGGGGGCCGTGGTCAGTGACACTAACACCGCCGCTGGCGTGCGGTTTTGAGTTACGGCTGGTGAGCTGGAAAGACACGACCATAGACCCGGGAACAGGGGGGGGGGGGCAGCGGGGGCGCTTGCCCCCCCCCCCCAACTTGGGAGCCGAGGGGGCGGCGCCCCCTCAACATTGAGGCAGCGAGAAAAGGTCTTTCCTCCCTTTTCCGGACTTCTTTCCTTCTTGTTTCCTTTATACATCTAAGCATCAAAACACGGCATTTTCCTTGCCATCTGAATGGTTTCTGCTGATACAGTATCGATTTGACAACATCTGCCATTGTCATCCCGCTTTGATTTGGGCCTGACCTTGGCCATAAGCTTGGCAGGCCAGTTTTATGCTGGATCATTTTGAGTCAACTTTGAGAAATGCATAACGTACAACGGTGGTAAAAATCGTTGCTATAGGTATAACACAGTTTACCCGCTCCGGGTGTGAGGGAGGGGTATGGGGCAATGAGTGCACTGACGTGGCGCCCTCGGTATGGGATGGGATGTATGGGATGCATTAGAGGGCCGGTATGGGATTAAAGCTCAGCGACACTAAGGGCTTATGTGGTGCCTTCGGTTATCGGTAGCACCCTCAGAATCACCGGCGTAGGGCCCTCAGAGCCGCCGGTAAGGGCCTTTATAGGCACCGGTGTGGGGCCGTCATGCAGGTGCCGGTGTGGGCGCTCGGAGGTGCTAGTGTGATTCTCTCAGAGGCGCCGATGAGGGTCCTTACAGGCCGTTGCTGTGGGCCCTCATAGACGCTGGTGTGGAGCCCTTTCAGACGGGTGTGGGGCCTTTAGAGCTGCTGACGCGAACTCTCTATAAACCGGCAGGGGGTCTCATTGACCGGCAAGGGGTCCTTAGGCCGGCAGAAGAAGTCCCATGTGGGGTCCTTCTTAGAGACCGGCATGGTACTGTCAGACGCCGGTGGGGCCCTCCGAGACTCACCGGTGTGGGACCCTCAAAGTCACCAGTGGGTGGCCTTTAAGCCTGAAACAGACTCTTTCCGCAGTCAGGAAATCGCATGCGAGAGCCTATTCAAATACACATGGAAGCACGCTCGCATCAATCGAACGCACCTCCCGCAAGCGATTGATGCGAGAAGAATTACAATGTATTTGAATAGGCTCTCGCATGCGATTTCCTGAACGCGGAAAGAGTCTGTTTCAGCCTTTAGATGCGCAGGTGTTGGTTGGGTCCTCAGAGCCGCCGATATAGGGCTTAATTTTTATAGGTACTGGTGTAAGCACCCAGAGTTGGTGGTGTGAAACCCTCAGAGACATCGGTGTGGGCAATCATAGGCGCGGATGAGGGCCCCATAGTTGCCGTTACGGGGCCCTCAGAAAAATAAGTGTGGAACCATCACAGGCGGGAAATGCCCCTAGAACTGGCCCCTCATGAGCCGGTAAGAACTCTCAGAGGCCAGTAACGAGCCTTTGGAGACCACCGAGGTGCCCTGAAAAGCCGCAAGAGACCCTAAGAAGCCGGCGTGGGGTCCTTATGGAGATCTTAGTGTGGCTATTTAGGGCCCATGAGGTGCTCTAACGAGACCCATGGGGCCCTTCTGAGTAGAACTATGGCCACGGTTAACCTTCAGCAGTCAAATGGCGCCGCAGGGCCCCTCGGACCCCAGAGTCCCTTTGAACCCGATAGGGGGGGGGGGGGATAGGTACGTTTTCGCTTAGACCCCTAGCTACGCCACTGTTTCATATGTATCATGTCAGGTATTTTAGGCTCGCCCCCCCCCCAACTTGAAAATCGTTCCCGGGCCCCTGGACACGACGCTGAACTGCGGGCATGCAGAGGCTGTGAGGGAGGTGGAGTTATGTTACACGGCGCGCAGCTTATAGGAGGCCCAAGAGCAGTCGGGCTGGAGGGGGCGACCGGGGCGACAAGCAGCGACAAGCCTTTTTGTCTTGCTTTCCCTGAACCTTTGAAGTGCTGCCAAATAAAAATAATTGTCGGCCGGTGCTTAACTTCATGAACCCTAACTTCGTGATGAAAAAAGTAATGCAATCATTTCCTGAACAGCCACCCCAACCCAGGTTCTGACAATTCCTTTTCCTAACAGATATATCCTTTCCATATCCAGATATTCACTTTGTGCTGCCCACTGTGAGTTTATGCTTAACCATGGGCAAGGACGGCAATCATCAGTTATTGTCTGAAGACAACATGCGAGATGCGCTGAGTGCTGACGGCAGGCCCATGTCGTCCCCTATCTCTCTGCGTGTCCACTAACACGAATGACGTCACGCATGTGGGCGGAGCTATGGGCGGAGCCTAACGCACGCGGCAGTCCAAGCCGCCATATTTGAATTTATATTTTAATAGAATCTTGCCGATATTTTGGGTGAAGTCAATTTATATGGATAGCTTGGTGACAGTTTAGCTATACGAATAATAATTTATTATGGATGTGCGTATATTCAGCTTGGAATTGCAATTAAAGTTCCGCACCGCATAGATTCGAACTCGGGACCTTTGGAATACTGCGCGGGCACGCTAACCACTACACTACCGCGACCGCGCGGCGGCCGGCGGCAGGGAGGCTGCGGAGACATGGGGGGACATTTTACGCTTTTGTGAAAAAAGCAAAAGATTTAGCGAAAAACACGTAATAGATAACTTGCAGAAAATTGTCTGCTCTTTTAGATAAGATACTTAAGTTTGATATATCTTGTGCAGACTTCATTCTACAGTGCTTCGAAAATCGCTCATTTACATGGGGATTGAACGGGGCTTCGAGACTTGACTCCAAATGACGTCACGAGCTGACGTCACGAAAAGGTAGAATCGCCGGACGACCCTACCTGGTATATAGGGCCTTGGCTGACGGCTGTTGAAAGAGGTTAAAATCAGCAAACTTCGCTCTTACGAGTTACGGCATCCCAAGACAAACGCTTGTTTATTATCATCGAAATATACATGAATAAGAAACTATTGACACTACATTTTACTTTCCCCAGTAGACATAAATAGCAGAAAATACAGCAAATAACGATAACGATCCAATCTCAATTTCAAATCAAACCAAAACAAATTCACTTAGGTGGCCTTGAAACGAATAAGCAGAAGCTCTTTTCAAACCACACTGTTAATTTGCAGCCTAATGGCCGTTGCAGCGTTTTAAGCACCGACCAATCAGAGCCGTTGGAGAGCAGGTCTCCAGTGACGTAATCGCGCCGGGTAATGCAATTGGCCCCTGGGCGGCTCCAAATGCCGGGACGGCACCCCCCTGCCGGTAACGTGAGGTAGCCGAGTCGGGGCAGCGTGCGCTGACCCAAGCCTGGGCCGCAGCTTTGGGCGCGGTCTACCGCATCCCCGCGGGCAGCCCCGGGCTATCACATGACACCGGGAGGACGCGCGGCCCCGGCTTGGGTCAGCACACGCTGCCCCGACTCGGCTACCTCACGTTACCGGGGCCCTGGCTTTGGGCGCGGTCTACCGCACCACCTAACAGGCGTGTTCGCAACCGCAGGAGATGATGATGAACGGGTTTATCGAAACTTGATTGGATGAGCCTATCGGTAATTGCGATTTCAGTGTGTGCATTTATTGTTCATAGTGGTGTGAAATGTGGTTGGGGTACGACCGACAACCCGTCGGGGCGAATTTCGCACTGGGGTACTCAAAATTTGAAGAATTTAAGACGTTTCCACGAGTTTTGAAGGTATGGATAAGTTCTAAAAATCTGGTTCTCCTTATCTGGGCCATTAACTCCATACGGTCCAGGAAAGCTGGCACACTACCTTTAAGTATGAATGAGGGTGACCAATTAATAATTATGCAGGCTAATGTTTCCACATTTGTTTTGTTTGCAAGAAAAGTTTGCTCATAGAATGGAATGATATACCTACATGTAGTGCCTAGTTTCGGTCGGAGGTGAGAGGCCAGGGATTGGTGATGGTAAATAGTAAATAGTGTACTGGTGCTTTTGAATTGGTTTCTAGAAGGAATAACAATCAGAACTGAAATCAGGAGGCCTTAGAATATCTTGTGAATGGCTTTTATTTATCCGTCTGTGTTGCGGACCTAAAGTAAATAAATACCGGCCCCCCCTTTCAGACCCAAAGGGGCCATGGCCCTTATGCCCCCCCCCCCTCGGATCCGCCCTTGCCGCAAACGGCATACAATCTCAAAGAAACCCCTCCAAAATCCAAATCCCTATTCGGATCCACAGATAATAATTGCGGTCCCCCTCCTTTTCGTCACGAGCACCGGACCAATTAGCGCCGAGTATTGCCGAGCGCTGATTGGTCGATTTCCCGCTAGCGCGTAAATGCTACTCACGGAACAGATTTCGTCGACAATCCTCCACAAACGTCTGTCACACTTTTTGTAGTGCTATTAAAGCCGGAGGGCTATACAACGTCCCCGTGTGAGGGCCGGAAGCATCTCCTGGTCACGGTGTAGGTGTACGGAGCCGCGGCCGCCCGGGTGCCGGATGGCGCGGCGGTCTGTCTCGGCCGGGTCATCTGACCGCCGCGCCGGGGCCCTTATCTGCACTGGACAGGTCGGTGCACGTCCCCCTGCTGCGCCGCAGTCCAGCCGCCTATCACTGTCCGGCGGCACTGTGGCTGCACCCTTCCAGGCCGGGAGCGGCGCGGGGGCACTGCAGAGGCCGTCCGGGGCCCGGCACGAGCGGACGTGGCCCATCGGTCGTGATCCTGTCTCCGCTGTGCTCTGCAGACTGTTCCCCCGGCCGGCCTGTTTCAGTCGGAGCTCTGTGACGGGACCCAGGCGGCTCACTGAAGGAGGACGGCTGGGTCGGCGACACCACGGCAATAATGGGGAGCCGGCTATCGTCACGCCGCTCTGGGGGCCCGGCCCGGCCCACAGAGCCCGGCTCCAGCTCGCCGGGTGATTTGGCGTGGTGAGTTCCGGCGCCACTGTCCATCCATCCTCTCACACTGGTGCTAATTAGGGCGAGAGATGCCAGAACCTTGGCCAGAACAACGGGAACGATTCTGGTGATGCAGGTTTGTAACACTCGGTTTTCGTACACCGGCTCGTCACTCAGGATCAATATCAGTTAGTCGCAGGCGTGATTTGCATGCATTTTTATTACCTTTGCACATGATTGGTAAAGCTAGTGAGATGGCACCTGTCTGAAAGATAGATTATTGCGTCATTAGCCTGTCTTTATCGCCGTATCATGCACCATTTCGAGGTATCTGCCCCGCGCTGCCCGCTAGTGAGTAGTAATGCCAGCAGACCTCCATCGGTGCCCATGTGTAACTCGTGTGACCTCCAGCAGTGACCCCTTGTGGCCTGTGTAACTTCATGTGACCTCTATCAACGGCCCCTTGTGACCTAAGCAAAGAAGTCCGCGTGACATCCACCAATGCCCGGGTGGCCCATTGTGACCTTCACCACCTCGTGTGCTCTCGTGTGACCCTACCAAGTGATCCTGAATGTCGTGTGTGACCCCTTGTGGCCCCGTATAACCTCCCTGACCCACCAGTGAACCGGTCAGCGGCTGGGAGGAGAGCTGTAAGAAGTACGGTTACCGACCCAGCGGGCCGCGACAGGACACAAAGCGCAGCGCCGCAGAGAAACAGCGCGGCGCCGGGGACAAACAGCTCTACGTCGGGGACAAACAGCTCTACGCTGCAGAGAGACAGCGCAGCGCCGCGGACAAACAGCGCAGCGCCGCGGACAAACAGCAGTTGGCCGGGGAGCAGGTGCGCTCCGGCCGGGCACAGCCGGCCCAGAAGGTGTCGGCGCCGTGCGAGGGTGCCGGGGAGCGCGCCCGGGCCGTGCCGCCGCTGCGCCTCTCACTGCCAGGGGTGTGCCGCGGCTACAGCTCCCGGGAGGGCTGCGAGGAGGCCGACTGCCGCGGACTGCACGTCTGCCGGCAGTTCCTGGCCGACATCTGCAACTACGGCGCCGACTGTCGCTACAGCCACTCCCTGACGACCGTGCACAACCAGGTGAGCGTATAAATGGGACTGTCGCTACAGTCACTCCCTGACGACCGTGCACAACCAGGTGAGCGTATAAATGGGACTGTCGCTACAGCCACTCCCTGACGACCGTTGAGGTTAGTGTGTTTGGGACAGTCGTTACGGCCACACCCTAACAACTTTCACAACCAAGTGTGGATTGCTGTTACAGCCGTACCTAGACGACTGTTTACAATCAGATTACAGGTGTCTGATATAAAACAACAAATTCATGGGACTTTTCTTCGAAATATAGAAAAACAAAAGACCGATTAATATTTTCAGAATTCTTTCTTACAAAATCTTACAGAATTACAGAATTAGTTCGGCCAATATCCTCGGTTAACCCGCGCCCCAGTGGCGGTCTCAGCCAACTTCGCCCTAGTGGGGGGGGGGGGGGGCATATGTTACCACCCACCTCTAACTCAAAAACTAAGAGGGCTAGAAAGACGCGGTAAAAAGCAGTCGATAACTCTCAATGCGTACGTTTGAAAGTAGTTCGGTCATTTTTCATCTTAGAGCAATATTGGGGTCACTGGAGGTCATTTAAGGTCAAATTTGCCAAATGTCATATTTTTCAGAAAACATTTCAGAAGTAACACATGACCTTGGCCAGCTCCTGCCAGCTCCTGAACTGCTCCTACGCTTAGATCATTTAATAACTGCTTTTTCCTTTTATTCCCACTTTTGGAGGCCTAGCTTAGCATTGAATTTGTTCATGCAAGTTTTCAAGTGTCAGAACATTTTTGAAACTGACATAAAATGGTAAAGGGTCTTGCATCGCGTGAGACCCCTGCGTCACAATTGTCTCAAGGCCAGGAAAGCGAACATGAAAGTGGCGGGAATGAAAGTGCTGAGGAGGGGTTTGTGACTGTGCAAAGCAAAAAGAAATCAAAGAAAGGTAAGGCATTCCAGTGCAGAGGAAGTACTGGGAAACCATGTGGCAAAACTATCGGGAAGAAACAAGATTCTATAGAATGCGAAGGCTGTAATGACTGGTTCCACCCGAGCTGTCAGGGCCTAAGTGTTGAGGCTTTTAAAGCCATCGACCTACACGACCTCTTCTGGGTGTGCGAAACATGCAGAATGAAATTCAAGGACTCGGTTTCACTGCAACAAGTGATCTCTAGAGTAGAGCAGGTAGAAAAGAATGTCATAGAAGCAATTGGCAAAGACAAGGATGAGAAAACTGTAGAGAAAGGGATCGAGAAAAAAATAAATGAAATGGAGAAGAAAGTAGTAGAAAAACTAAGCGAACAGAAAAAGGTTATCCTACAGAGCTCGGACACGATAAAGAAAGCTGTTCAAACGAGCAACGAGAAAAGGGACATGAACCTGATCATTCACAACCTGCCAGAGTCAGAGTCAAGCGAGACAGAGGTAAGGAAGGAATATGACAAGGAAAGGATCCAAGAGATGTCTAGGGCCCTGCGAGGCAACGACACTCATATAGATTTGCTAGACGTGGTCCGTCTTGGCAGAAGAGACACTTCATCCGACAAACCGAGATTGCTTTTGGTGAAACTTAAAGACAAAGAGCAACTAGAGGACTTGTACAAAAAGAGGTTCAGACTAACAGATGTAGGGTTCAAGAACAGGTACATCACCAAGGATCTGTCACCAGAAGAAAGATCAAAGCAAAAAGAACTGAGGGACGAACTCAAAAGAAAAGGCAAGGAGACACACAGGATCTTTCAGAACAAGGTGGTCCCAAGAGAACAGTAGTGTGACTCTCAACAAAGTTTTGTCATGCTTCTACTCTAATGTCAATAGCTTAGGAAACAAGATGGAAGAGTTTGTGAACAGGGTGGACATTCATAAGCCAGACATTATAGGACTGACAGAAGTGTGGCAGAAGGATGAGATTCACATTCAAGGCTATCAAGTAGCAGCCAGTAAGTCCCGACCTGATGGTTGTAAAGGTGGAGGTGTTCTACTTCTTGTGGCAGATCATTTAAGGGTCAGCGAGTGTGATATTTTGAACAATTCAAACTTTGAAGAAGCAGCATGGTGTAGAATTCACGCAAGGCCTGGGAACACAATAGTAGTGGGCATCTGCTACAGACCACCAAACAGCGATCGGGAAAATAATCAAGAACTGCTGAAGTTGCTAGAGAAAATGAAAACAATTAGTGCTACAGACTACCTGGTTATGGGAGACTTTAATTACAGAGAAATTGATTGGGACACTGGTGCAATTTCAGGACCACCAAACTCTGATGCCACTCAGTTTTACAACATAGTACAAGACTGTTACTTAACCCAGCATGTGAAATCCAGCACCAGGCACAGAGCAGGTACAGCCCCCTCTACCCTGGACCTCATCCTCACTAATCAGGAAAACAATGTTGAGGAAGTCAAATATGAAGCTCCAATAGGAAAAAGTGATCACTGTGTGATAATATGGGACTACAGAATACACTCTGAAAACAGGGAGGCCAAGGAACAACTCAGATACAATTACAGAGCTGGTAACTATGATTCTATCCGTCATGAGCTAGCACAGGTGCAGTGGGATGTGATAGAAAACATGGATGTTGAAGCAGCATGGACATTCTTTGTTGATAAGTTACACGATTGCAGAAAGAAGTATGTTCCTCTATTCAAAGGCAGAAGAAAAACAAAACTGTCACCACCGTGGTGGAATAAAGCACTAGATAAGCAAGTGAAACGTAAATATAAAGCCTACAAGCAGTACAGAAAAGAACAAACAGCAGAGAATCTGAAGAAGTTTACCAGGATCAGAAACGAGACCACGAGTCACATCCGGCAGACAAGAAGGTTGTATGAGGAAGAGCTGGCAAGGTCAGCTAAGATAATGCCAAAGAAGATAGCCAAATATGTAAGACTGCAAAGCAAAACAAGAGACAAAGTGATGGAACTAGTCAAACCTGATGGCACTGTGATAGCAACAAAGAAAGAGATTGCAGATGAACTACAAACATTCTTTTGCTCAGTTTTTGTAAAAGAACAAGGTGGTGTTTTGCCAGCTTTTGAAAGTCAGGTGGAAGAAGGAGAATCACTCGAGGATATTAACATTACTTTTCAGGAAGTACTCCATGAACTTCAAACGTTGACTGAAGACAAGGCATCAGGACCGGATGATGTTTCCCCCTTTCTCTTGAAAAACTGTGCACCTGAGCTAGCATACCCACTCATGCAGATATTCCAAAAGTCCATGACAAGCGGACAGCTACCAACAGCTTGGAAGAGAGCAGCAGTGGTACCACTCTTCAAGGGAGGCTCCAAAAAACTGGCAAGTAACTACAGGCCTGTGAGTCTGACTAGTCATGCATGTAAGGTCATGGAAAGAATTATCAAAAGGCACCTGCTCAACCATCTATTAGAGAAAGATCTCATCTGCAAAGAACAGCATGGCTTTGTACCCAGAAAATCATGTTTGACCAATCTTCTAGAGGCTCTGGAGGATTGGACACATACTGGACAGCAGCACTGGACTGGACATCATCTATTGTGACTTTAAAAAGGCCTTTGATTCTGTGCCCCACCGAAGACTTGTTAAGAAGCTGGCTGCCTATGGTGTCAAAGCAGGAGTGCTTCAATGGATCACAAACTTTCTTCAGGACAGGACTCAGAAGGTAGTAGTTCATGACCAAGAATCTAGAGAAGAGGCTGTGACCAGCGGAGTTCCGCAGGGCTCAGTATTGGGACCCATCCTGTTTGTGATATATGTCAACGAATTGCCCACATTGGTCCAGTGCGACGCAAAACTGTTTGCAGATGACATGAAGATTTATCGCAAGGTCAGAAATTCAGAGGACTCAGAACAACTTCAGGCAGACCTAGATAGACTCTCGCAATGGACTGAACAATGGCTTCTTGAATTCAACCCCCAAAAGTGTAAAGTGATGCACTGTGGACCACAAAACCCAAAAAGATCTTACAGTATTAGAGGAGTCAAACTAGAAGTCACAGATAAGGAGCGAGACCTGGGGGTGACTATAACAAACGACCTTCGACCTACTAGTCACTGTCAAAGAGCTGCGAGCAAAGCAATGGTAGCTCTCCGAATGATAAAGAGGTCCTTTGACCAAATCACAGCAACAAACTTCACCAGCCTCTTCAACTCATATGTGAGACCACACCTAGACTACTGTATACAAGCTGTGGGTCCCCAAGCTGTTCAAGATATCAGTCTCCTCGAAAACATCCAGCGCAGAGCTACAAGATTGGTGAGGGGGTTAAAGCACAGGCCATACCAAGAAAGACTAAAAGTCCTGAAGACCGTATCTATTAAAGACAGGATAAAAAGAGGCGACTTGATTGAGACGTATAAAATCATGTCAGGGAAGCTCAATGTGAGGAGAGAGAAGTTTTTCAAACTGAGGACGACAAACACAAGAGGTCACCATATGAAATTACACAAGGAGCAGTCAGTCCATCAAGCCAGACAAAGGTTCTTCTCACAGAGGGTGGCTAATGACTGGAACAAGCTACCAGATGATGTTGTGTCTGCTGACACCACTGCTACATTTAAAGCTAAGCTAGATAAGCACCTCCAGCTCAAAGCCAACTGTGACCTGTGACCTCCAACCTCAATGAGTACCCTGACATGTTTCCTTGCCAACAATGACATGGACAACAAATAGCATACTGCTACCCCAAGTCCATTATCTATATACCTATACCTATACCTATCTCAAGAACTATGATAGCTAGAAAAACGCATGTAAGAGCAATTGATAGTTTTTGAACTCTTCTTTCGATAAGGTCATTTTCAAAATTGACCTCGGGTCAACGGTTTAGCCTCTAGAGGGCTAGCTCCAAAAATAGTTGTTTTTACGAAAAGTGTTTTTCGACAATAACTTTTGTGTGTTATCCATGACAGATATATATATATATATAAACGACAATATATCGCTATATTGTCGTTATATATAACGACAATATATTCAATCGTGTATTTGAATATATTGTCGTTTTGTATACAATAACTTTTGACTAAAAAAACAACCAAGACATTTCTATTGCCAGAATCGTGTTCTTCTTGCCGAGACGCGTCGAATGAACAAAAATTTGACCTTGAAAGGTCAACTTAAATTTGCCTCAGGTCAAGGCCATGACCTGACCGGAAAAGGTCATGTTGCATAACGGTCGATGCTTCTCGGCAAGACAAACACAATGAGACCATCCCCAGCGTTCCATCTCTTTCCAATCGAGAATTATTGGCCAAAATATGTTTGTAGCCTCAAATGACCTCGGATGACCTTTCAAGAGGCTATCAGCAAAAAAGACACCTTGGTCGTCACGGGTGGTCCAAATAATTGTGATTCTGAAATATTTGGACTGTTCCTATGCGTACACACGGATCTAGAGGCATTTTCATTTTTCTCCGTTGACTTATAATGGTAAGGTCACGCCACTGGCCTGACCTTAGGTCACCGATATAAAAAATCCGAGATATACAACGTATAGGCGCCCATAACATCATGCAATCCACCAAGTTTAAAACCTTTCTGACAAACACTGCAGGCTGGACATGATTGCAAACTTTTTTTTAGGCTTGGTCAGTGAACTTGACCTGGTGACCTGACCTGACGTGACCTGGGGTCAAAAATTTCACACATTGTCCAAAATTGATGCACAAAAAGCTATCCAAGCGGCGCAGCGCTACGCGCCGCGGTTTTTTATTTACACGCTAAAAATGCGACAGGGTGGTAACATATGCCCCCCCCCCCCCACTAGGGCGAAGGTTAAGCCAAGCTTTTAAAGGCAATATATCACTTTAAACATAAGGCTTAGGGCCTTGCATGGGCTATGAAGTGAAATAGCAGTAGCTCGAGCTTAGACTAGCCCAAATTTGGAGCTTTTATTCCTACCCCAGCGATCACATTAGGCAAATAAATTCCATTTCTCGTTCTGAAGATTCCCTTGTAGAAGAATGCCAGGAATGCAGCCACCTGTCATAGAGGCTAAACTTGCAGCCAATCAGCTTGCAGATATGTTGTATCAAATGTGCTGTTTATGTCTACACACTTTGTGCGAGCCTATGCAGCTTTAATTTGATTGGCCAATGCATCGTTACCTTCCACTGCAAAAAAAAAAAAAATACCTAGGTAGCCTCTACTATAGTTCTTCCTACATTAAAATACAGAAAATAATCCTATTTATAAAAGGGTGTTATTTTCCTATATGATTATTTTGAGCATAAAAAATCAAAAATCCATTGTAAAAAAAAAACATCAGGAAAGTGAACTATTCCTTTAAGCGTCTGCATAAGGTTAGTATCTATACATTGGTTGTTATTCACCATCTGGCAAGTGATTCAATTTCAAATGACTTCAAAATTTTAAGGAATATGTCCCGAATAAGTGGTTACAGCTGATCAGAATGCGGTTGTTTTGAGGCTCGGAGCCGGTATGCCCATCGACCGGCGCGGTCGACGTTCTGACCCCATATTCCGCTCAACGACTCAGCATTTCAGCAATTCAGCAGCTGTCTGGGTGGCTCAGCGCGCGCAGCTATCTCCCTTTTCCGGGCGCATAGCTCATTTTTGAAATGTTTTAATTGTAGAATAACTTTTAGTTAAGATAGTTGATGTATTTTGTCCCTGGTATTATAGCACTGCCGCAGTGTTGATGCTGAGGCTCCTGCACCAGTCAGTAAGATGTCACCTCGGACTCGCCCACAGGACATCTGCCGCCTGTTCAGCATGGACACCATGCAGGAGAACGTGCTGCTCCTGCAGATACGACGTGCCTTCAGTGACAGCGACCAACTGACTGAGGCGTTCTTCGTCCAAAACCTGACCAGGTGTTTCAGATTCCGAACGAAAACACCCTGCAAATTGCACGAATGCAACAGACTGCACCTCTGCAGGTATTCCAACGGTGTGCGTGCTCCTTTGCTGTGCGATACCGAATTTGACTTCAAATCTCTTAATTTTGGGTGCAAATATGAATGCGAAAACGTAGTTTTGTGTTATCAAAGACATTCCAATTTGGTAGGCACGCATAGCTAACATCAGCACAATGGCAAATTTTAATGTACTAGGGGGGTAGCCAGAAAGTTTAAAAATTGATGACGTCACAGCTAAAAATCAAAATCATTTTTTTGAAAATCCGAGATGGCCAATTAATTGCCCATTTCACCACGATCACAACGATGCAAAGGTTTAATGCATTTTCTTCATTCCTTTAGGAGATATAGCACTTCAAAAATCACTCTGCAGAGTGACCTCGTCAAAATGCCCGGGGCTATATCTCCTAAACCGCTGACCGTAGGGGTCTGGCGTTGTCACCATTGACTTCAGGGCATAAGAGAACCCTGTAGACAAGATTTCATCAAAATCAAAAATGGTCGGGTGTAAATCTGATAAAATTTTGGTCGATCTATCGTGGAATGCCCCATTATTTTTGCTCAGAAATAAAGTTCCGTCAATTTCCTTTCGACTGGGAAAAAACAAAAATGGTAATCTTTCTACAAATATTTTATTTTATTTTTTGAAAATCGCACTACAAACTCTGATTTACAGAATCGGGTTATTAAGCAATATAAGACACATCTGCGAGGACCAGTTACTTCCAAAAAGAGGTTATCTGGGTTTCGGCATATAATATTCTTCTCTTTAACCCGCGCCCGGCTGGGGGTCCTGGATTTCCACGCCCTGCTGGGGGGGGGGGGGGTGTTTGAACACCCCTCCCTTCTAACTCGGCTCCTGGGCCACGTAGCGATACGCGGAAGACGGCGTTCGAAAGAGCGTCAAAAATAATGAGGAAATCACTTCGGTCAATTTTTTGGTCAGGTCAAAGGTCAGGTCACCAGAGGTCATTGAAGGCAAAATTTCGCCGATTTCCAGGTCGAATGTCGACAATTTCCAAGAAGCCAACGCATAACTCGGGAACCAATAGAGCTACAGCGCCGCGAAAAAGCGCATTCGATAGCCCTATTAACGCCCTTTCTGAGTAATTTTCTCAGATTTGACCTAACGTCAACGGTTTTGCCTGCAGGGGCCAAAAACTGCAAAAATAACCGATTTTTCGGAAACAGTTTTTCTGCAATAACTTTTGACCCAAGCCTTGTACGAGCTTACTTTTACCGGCATCGTGTTCCTCTCGTCAAGACGCATCGAATGAACTATAACTTGACCTTGAAAGGTCAACTTGAAAATTTGACCTCAGGTCAAGGTCATGACCTGACCGGAAAGGGTCATGTTGCATATCAGTCGATCCGTATCGTCGAGCTGAACACATCTAAGGCGTTTTCATCGCTCTAGCATGCCTCTATCAAAAGTTATTTGCGAAAAACTGTTAGATACCATTCGTGACCTAAGATGACCTCAGGGCATAAACAGGGGTCACGGACACCATTTTCATGTTCAGTGTGTCTAAACCACTTGTAATTCAGTATTTGGGAGTGTTTATAATGTCTTTCGTCCAAAAGAGGCGCATTTCAGTTTTCTCCCATTGACTTATAATGGGGAGGTCGCAAAATTGACCTGACCTTAGGTCATCGATATCAAAATTCTGAGATATACATTTTGTACATGCTATTGCTCTTAGCAATCGCTGAAAGTTTCAAAGCAATCGGTCACTCGGTGTAGCTATGCCAGACATCGAAACTTTTTATGAGGTGAGGTCACTTCAAGTGACCTGGTGACCTGACCTTGAATGACCTTGGTCTGAAATTTTTACAACATGTGTAGAATTGATGTATGATAAGGTGTACCAAAAACGGAGGCGCTCCGCGCCGCCGTTTTTGAGATATTCGCGAAAAACCACAAGGGGGGTGTTCAAACACCCCCCCCCCAGCAGGGCGCGGGTTAACTTCACTTTTGATAACAAAAAAAAAAGAACTTTAATATTACTTGCACAGGAGTCAATATAATGGCAAAATTATACATACTTTTGAGCTGCCACAGCTGCCTTGTTTATCAACGTAGCTCAAATGACCAACCGACAGTCGATTTGCAAAGCATATTTACGAACCGACTAATTATAAACGAACAAAATAATTGGTAGTTTCAGGAAGGCAAAAGGTGGTGTAATGTGACTAGGTATTTCATCAGCGAATCATCATTTTCAACGCTGGATGCAATGAAAGCCATAAACAACGGAGTGCATTTCTATTGCAGTTGCAATAACAGACGGCAAAGCACCAAGACAGGAACGAGATCACGGCCACACAAACACACTTTTTACTTGGAACGTTTCGTCTAGTGATGTCAGTTACAGAAAATCGAAATACCGATACCAAACCAAATACCAACCAACACCGTGGGGAAATACCGAAACCAAACCAACTTGAGAACATGAGGGAAATACCAACTTTTTACCAATTTCTTAGCCTCTTACACATTAATGAGGGTTCATGATACCAACAATATACCAAACTTATTAGGATTGAAATACCAAATACCAAATTGGTATCGGTTTGGTATCGGTTTACCAAAAAATTGGTATCCGATTGACATCTCTAGTTTCGTCCGAGCATGCATGCTCACGACACGACCCTCATCCGTTGAGAGTTCGTGAACTCTAAGAGATGATACAGTCACAGGTGTGCAAGTAATATTAAAGTTCTTTTTTTTTGTTATCAAAAGTGAAGTTTAAGAGAAGAATATTATATGCCGAAACCCAGATAACCTCTTTTTGGAAGTAACTGGTCCTCGCAGATGTGTCTTATATTGCTTAATAACCCGATTCTGTAAATCAGAGTTTGTAGTGCGATTTTCAAAAAATAAAATAAAATATTTGTAGAAAGATTACCATTTTTGTTTTTTCCCAGTCGAAAGGAAATTGACGGAACTTTATTTCTGAGCAAAAATAATGGCAAATTTTAATGTACTAGGGGGTAGCCAGAAAGTTTAAAAATTGATGACGTCACAGCTAAAAATCAAAATCATTTTTTTTTTAAATCCGAGATGGCCAATTAATTGCCCATTTCACCGCCATCGCAACGATGTACAGGTTTAATGCATTTCCTTCATTACTTTAGGAGATATAGCACCTCAAAAATCACTCTGCAGAGTGACCTCGTCAAAATGCCCGGGGCTATATCTCCTAAACCGCTGACCGTAGGGGCCTGGCGTTGTCACCATTGACTTCAGGGCATAAGAGAACCCTATAGACAAGATTTCATCAAAATCAAAAATGGTCGGGTGTTAGGCCTTGGTCGATCTATCGTGGAATGCCCCACCTAGCGCCTACCGTAAAAAAGTCGAGGACACCTTTCTGCGCAACTGAAGCAAATGACGAAGTGACACCCGTTAGCAGTATGTCCGTTCAGCGCTGCCCTGTGCCCAGACTGTCGGCGCCGCTGTTTTCAGACAGTTTGTGCTGGACGGGTGTCGGCGCGCCGACTGCCGAATGGGCCACGACCTGCGCACGGCGCACAATAGGGACGTGCTGCGCCGACACCGGCTGGGCGACGCCAGCGACGGCCGCGTGCTGGCCATCCTGCGGCAGAAGGAGGCCGACCTGCGAGCCAGCCAGGTGGGCGGCGCTCCACACCGCGCGCACTGCGCAGCCGGCCGGGCCGGCCACCACACAGCTCCTAATGGCTGACCGTACTCACTAACAGACAAAATAGAAATGTGTTATTTTCCTGTAACCACCCAGTAAAAATAGAAAGACAACAAATAGATGTCGCAACGGTGCGTTACTTCTATTACTAGCAGACCGACAGCTGCAGGCGCGGTAGTGGCCCTGAAGGTGACCGGTCACTTCATCGGCTTCGCGGGTGCAGTGCCGGAACAGCTCCGGCGGGGATCCCCCACCCGGATGTGTCCTATCTGCACGGAGACGGACTGTGTCGCTCAGTGGTGAATCAGGCACTCGTGACCAAATGCACAGCATATGCGCAGTAGCCTATTGGAAAAAATATCGACTGCTATTGGCTTTGTAAAAACAGAAACCTCTACGATAGTTAAAGCTGACTTGGTCACTGGTCAGTTACGGTCATGTTTGTGCATTTCCAGTGATAGGATTTGAATCATTTGAATCGAATACTGTACTTAGGCAAGTGTAGGCTGATGAGGTACTTTGCTTGTTTTTTGTACTTTTAATTTATCTGACAAGCGGTGTAGTTACATTGAATGCTAAGCGCATCCTCCAAAAAGTTTTCAAAAATAGGTACATATGAAAAGTTGGACAGATTAAGAAGACATTTGTGTACCTTTGCATTCACCCTTTGAGCTTCTAATTTTGGTTTCCTATAGGGTTAGGTTTCATGCACTGACATAAAAAACAGTTATCGAGTTATCATGTCATAGATGCTGTTCGGCCGAAATAGACCAAATTCGTGATAATGCGCCAAGGAATGTGAGCCAAAATGTTTATCATTTAGTTGGAATTTACTACAATTTAGGTGTTTGAGATGAATTACCTACTTGTTTCAGTTGAAAAGAAAAGCCGCAAAAGGCGACGGTGATGTCAAGAAGGAATGTCCCCACAAGCCAGGGGTGTCCGGGGCTGAGCGGGCCGGCGCCGGACCAGCCCGAGCGGGACCGCCCTCCTCCGGCGGCGGCCGTCTGTCAGAGGAGCTGCGCTGCCCCGTCTGTCTGGAGCTGTTCCGCAGGGCCACCACCCTCGGCTGTGGCCACACCTTCTGCGCCGGCTGCCTGGCCGAGACCCGGGACCGGGGCGCCGACCGGTGCCCGCTCTGCGCCGCCCCCATCTGCTCCACCATCCGCTCCGTGGCCCTGGACGGCGTCGTCAGGAGCGTGGCGGCGCAGCAGTGAGCTGAGCGTGGCGGCGCAGCAGTGAGCTGAGCGTGGCGGCGCAGAAGCAAGCTGAGCGTGGCGGCGCAGCAGTGAGCTGAGCGCCGGCCGGGGGCGCGCCGCCCCCCCCCCCCCCCCGGCGGAATGGGCCGCAGGTGCTCGGCACTCGCTTAACTTTAATCATATTCAATCAAGGGTCAGGGTTCAGCGTTTGCTTGCGAAACTATAAGCTACATATTCGTAGAAGGCCCTTGAAAAGGTTTGTGTGTCATGTGTGTGTTTTTAGGCACGCCTTGACGCATGTGAGTGCGTACGAAGCCCTTCTCGTAATCAAGGAGTGATTAGGTCACTCAAAGGTTTTTTTTGTTCTACATAGTCTTAACCCGCGCCGGGCCGGTGCTCTGAAATTCCGCGCCGGGCCGCGGGGGTGTTTGAACACCCCCCCTTCTAACTCGGCTCCTGGGCCACGTAGCGACACGCGGTAAGCGGCAATCGAAAGAACGTCAAAAATAAGGACGAAAACACTTCGGTCATTTTTTGGGTCAGGTCAAAGGTCAGGTCACCAGAGGTCACCAAAGGTAAAATGTTGACTATTTCAACATTTTGGAAATTGCCAACGACTATCTCGGGAACCGATAGAGCTACAGCGCCGCAAAAAAGCGCATTCGATAGCCCTTTTACAGACCTTTCTGGGTAATGTTCTCAGATTTGACCTCAGGTCAACGGTTTAGCCTCCAGAGGGCAAAAACTCCAAAAATAGCCGTTTTTACGAAAAACGTTTTTTTCGGCAATAACTTTTGACTCAAAAGAGCTATGACATTACTTTTGCCAGCATCGTGTTCCTCTCGTCGAGACGCGTCGAATGAACTATAATTTGACCTTGAAAGGTCAACTTGAAAATTTGACCTCAGGTCAAGGTCATGACCCGACCGGAAAAGGTCATGTTGCATATCAGTCGATCCGCAACGTCGAGCCGAACACATCTAAGGCGTTTTCAGCGCTCTAGCACGCCTCTATCAGAAGCTGTCATCGAAAAACTGTTAGATTCTGTTCGTGACCTGAGATGACCTCGGGGACATAACGAGGGGTCACAGTTGCCATTTTCTGGTTCAGTGTGTCTATTTTACCTACATATCGATGTTTGAGAGTGTCTAGAATAGCGTTCGTGCAAAACAGGCGTTTTTCAACTTTCTCCCATTGACTTATAATGGAGAGGCCGCAAAATTGACCTGACCTTAGGTCACCGGTATCAAAATTCCGAGATATACATTTTATAGATAGTGTTGCTCTAATCAATCGCTGAAAGTTTCAAGGCAATCGTTCAGTCGGTGTAGCTATGACGAGCATTCTTTTTTTTCTGAGGTGAGGTCACTTGGCGTGACCTGGTGACCTGACCTAAGGTGACTTGGGTCTGAAATTTTCACAACATGTGCGGAAAAGATGCACAAACAGGTGTGCCAAAAACGGCGGCGCTCCGCGCCGCCGTTTTTGAGATATCTGCGAAAAACCGCAAGGGGGGGGTGTTCAAACACCCCCCCCCGGCCCGGCGCGGGTTAAATGACATTTAGCAATTAACATCCATCACAGGCGCCAATTCAAGAGGTCGGAGCACGGAGGCCTGAAACAATATCTTAGTATTTTAGGCATATTATATTGATTACTGAGCATCGCATCTAATTGTGGATTGTTTGCCAGAGAAAGCGATTTGACGTAAGCATGAACAGTTTATTCGCATATGTTTATAACTAGAGCACTTCGTTTTGGCCGGCTATTTTCAACATCATACGCTAAATATTTGTTCCAATGTACCTACTTTCATTTCAGTTCGTGATGGATCTTTTGCTTCTCTATCCGTGCAGGATAGACAGGAGTTGTAAACAACACCTTTGCTTCGCTATGCGCTCAGTGTATTCAGCATTGCTGCGCCATGACTGTTTATTCCATGGTTATTGCACTGATTGGATGTACGGGCTTGTCATCCAAGAGCCACCTTATTACATGCTTGCTGCTGTTAATGTGATAAATACACATTGCTTAAAGGGACATGTTCATGTCTAACACGGGGAATGGAGTTGAGATAGCAGTTTTGCTCGTTATATGCTAAAACCACATAATCCGGAGCCACTCGTCTCAAAAATACAAATTGACAGCGCTAGAGAGCATCTTGTTTTCTCTGTGATTATGTCATGCTGATGAAGATTTAATAATCGAAACGCGTCCATGCACTATTTGTTCCGTGTTTTTCTAATTTCGGTGGTCTTTACCAGATCGCCAAGGTCTTTACCAGATATGACCAGAGGTATATGACGTCAGCAAGAAAAGGCCTAGATTTCAAGCTAACGGGAACAGAATCGCCTAACAGATTGGTCTTTTTAAAAATTGTGTTCAAGATTGTCCGCAAGCAGCATGTTGAGACGACACGGGCAGATGGAGCGCGAATCGTCGTAAAGCTCTTCAGAATGCTTGTTTCTGATTGGGTAATATTCTTAGACGTTTCAAGCTGGAGAACTCAATAAGGCTCTCCTCATAATTTTGCGCGTTTTTGTTTGCTGGTTGTCAAGGCAAACAAACAAAAACCAAGATACCAATAAGAAACCAAAAAGAAAAACCCTTTTGCGCGTTTGTTTTTATTTTTCCAGTAGCTTTGCTGTCAAGCAAAGCCGTTCAACCGAAGCCGTTGTTGATGAAGCAAAGCTGTTTTCTAGTGAAATTGTAAGTTACCAGTGAGTATTCGCAATGCTGGGATTTTTCAAAAGTTAATTGACTGAAAGGGATAAAAATTATTTCTGAAATAAACCACCAGTTCAGGTCTAGGTTATTTTGTCAACAAAGCAAAGCAAAACAAAGCAAAGCAAAGCAAAGACAAAAGCAAAGGCAAAGGCAAAGGTAAAGCAAAGGCAAAGGCAAAGCAAAGCAAAGCAACTACCTGCCTTGCGTTGCTGCGTTGCAGGCAGGCAGGCAGGCAGGCAGGCAGGCAGGCAGCGTATTTACAAATTGCAACCGAGCTCCGCCGTAGGGTATTTTATTTCCGCCGTAGTGTATTTCACTTGGGGGATTTTCTACCATAAATCTGCCTGAGCTTAGGGTAATTACAATTTGTCGGCGACGTTCAAAAATGATGCACCTTTTTTCGCAGTATAGGATATCGCATGTGCATATTTCTGCCTTTTTGGGTGCGCTTTTCCCTCCATCGGTTTTTCGTGAGTAACTCGCTTGAAAGCCGTCCGATCGCGACGAAACTTTCAATACCCCCGATTTTATCAATTTTACACCTACCCTGAAAATTTCATGACCCTGACCCAAATGACCTTTGAGTGACCTATTTCTCGAGACCATGTTTGGCCCGAATCGCGATTCGGCGTATGTCGGCGCGCATTAGCCGCGCGGTTGCTGTCTTCACGTGGTTTCAAGCGTTGAAACATGTGATATGATGCTGGTCCCATGCATTAGGGTGGGTGTCAAGGTCACCTGAAGGTCAGGTCAGCTCAATGACCTTTGATGACCTCGGTTCACTTTTTCGAGTTTTACATGTTTCTAGGCTAGTTTTTGGGGCTGATTTCGAATTTAGCAATCATTTGAACATTACAGGGGGTGTAACGAAATTATCCGGACACCTTTCTTCCCGCTGTAATTAAAAAGCAAAACAATCTGATACTTTTTCTTTTAACTGAGCATGTAGCATGTAGAGGGAACTTCATGTCAGAATTGAAGATGGATCATTAAATTTTCAACGCAGTTTACAAACAAGCATTTGGTCTTTCTCGTATAAAAGCAGTGGCTAAGAAAAGGTTGATCAATCCTGAAGTTCAGTCATCGTACCTCAACTTGGCAGCAAGATCCCCCAAGGACAGAGGATATATTGTATACATGTCCTGTAAATCAAAACAAACAAGCATTTGGTCTTTCTCAATTCTCATATATAACAATAAGCAGAGGCTAAGAAAAGGTTGATCAATCCTGAAGTTCAGTCATCGTACCTCAACTTGGCAGCAAGATCCCACAAGGATAGAGGATATATTGTATACCTGTCCTGTTAAAACATTTTTGTGCCTGCAAAGACCTAAGTTATCTGTGGTGTGTTCGGAGTTAGGCTATGTGGCCGTTTTTGTTGTATGTTTATGTGGAGATTGAATATAACTGTGACCCTGTGCTTGTTTGTATACTTACTATGGTCAAACAGGGAACACCGAACAGCACATTCACATAACATACTCACCTAGCATCTAACTCATAGCTGTACCCTGCAGGATCTGTACTTGTTCATGTCTCAAGCATTAACAAAGCACTATAGTAGCTTAGTAATCATTTCCCACATTTTCTGAACATCTAAAATGACATACAGCAGAGCAGAGCAGCTTCAGATAAGAAACACTTTAAATGCACAGACTCACACCAGCCACCCAATGAGCCAGTTCCTCAGTTCACTGTTTCCCTGGATGCAGCTTGGCAATGTGAGCTAACTTTTGGCAAGTTGAAGGTGAGCAGGTAAGATTGAGTTAGGGTGAGTACCTACCTATAACTGGGTGCTACTGCTATGCTGGTCTTGGGTAGGCTACAAATATGTGTGATGATTGCGGCTAGGTCAGCTGTCAGGTTAGTCAGGTATGCTCATTGCTAAGGTCACATTTTTATGGACACTTGGCAAATTAAAAAACTAACAATCTAATCTAAGCTAACCCGACTTAAAGGTAGACTGCCACCTTTTTTACACAAAACGGTTTTCACTAGAGCTGAGCCACCTATGTCCCAGACTGAAGTCGGTTTTCCGAAATTCGAACCCGTTTGCGAGAAATCGGAGACCAAAGTTCAGTTTGATGCCATTTTTTTAGTTCAAGAAAACGGACATCTCTACGTTTATCGATAACTTTGAAACATTAGTTTTCTTATCTTTTGGCAAAAATATGTCGAAACTTTGATTGTTTCGAGATCAGAGAAGAATTTTGGAGTGTCAAAATAAAATTTAAACTAATATATTCAGTAGTTCATTTTTTCCAAAAAAAAAGTGGGAAATGGGGTTTAACATGGGCCAGACCCATTCCAAATGAGCCATGATTTTTAAATGTTTTACGAAGTTAAACATTACGGAAAGTCTAGATAAACATAAGATATAAGATCTAGAAACATAAGATTTCCATATCTAGAAACATAAGATATGGAAGCGACAAAACCCGCTTCCATATCTTATGACCTTGAAGTCTAGTGATGTGTCAACATTGTCGCTAGACATTAACCGATTGATAATTTATGATAATCGATAATTTTTTACGCGATATACGTGATGACAGCTTGCCAGGTGAATTCTAAAATTTCGTTTTATCCAGGGAAAAAATCATGGGCCGATCTGAGAAAACTTTTTGAAGGTGGCAGTCTTCCTTTAAAGGGACTATCCCACCTTCTAAAATGTTGTTAAAACCAGTTAAATTGTGCCCGACTTTATAGATTGGATGACCAGGAACACGGTTCTGGCATTTATTTTTCATTAAACATCTTAGGCTTCCCATATTCCAAACACAAACTTTCAAATATGTGACGTCACAGCCCAAAATTACCTCCTTCCCCAGGCCACATTACTGTCATAAAGCTGATTCTTTTTACTCTGAAGGCACCACAACAAAGTTCAGACCAAGTTTTAAGCGATTTTTCAACGAACAAACCCATTTAAATCAGAATGACTAAACGAGGTGACGTCACACTAACGGTCGCTCCATGTTGAAGATAGGGCCTTGTACAAGGCCCATTTTCAAATGAAGGGAACGAATTTCTTCAACACCAAGAGGCCGCGGGGGTTGCAACCTAGATAGATAGTGGTTTCTGAACCTTGCCGCAAACTTGGCTATCTCAACTCAAACCCCATGTTAAAGGTGGGATAGTCCCTTTAACATACACAACTACTGACTATAGGAACTAAGCACCTACCTACTTGTGCCTACATCTCATACCATGTCAAAGTAGAGTTCCTTGGTGGAAGATTACCCTCAGTACTTTTTATCCCAGCCCTGTGAAGAAGACTAATACTTCTAAGCTCTGAGTCACTGCTGGCCATCCACAGGAAGAAACGCTGAGACTGAGAGCTTTGCCATTGTATATTGGACCAATAATCACCATCACGAATGACTATGAACACATTATATGATCACATTGTGCATGGATTGTCACATTGACAATTTTACTACAATCCTTTTTTCAAGAAATACAGTGATGATTAACATCAAAATCAACATAAAGTGGATTTAGTGATCCAAGCTTTGTCCTCCAGTAGCAATGGAATGATCTCATGTTTCATTTGCCAGACACTGAGTACCTCATACCTGATGCACATATTACAATCTGCATAGCATCTAAGCATAGTAAAACTGCCCAAGTCCATTCATTCTAGATTTTTAACTTGATAGTTAGCACTAATTTATCTTGCTGTTGTAAGTTATCATTCAATATTCATACCAATACATCAATATGCGCTCATCAGTCAACATTTTCTGGCATGATCCTGCTCAGCGTGCTCTTCAGTATTGCTCCAAGGTCTGCAATATTATAGCTTGTTTTTGGCCAATAATCTCTTTTAATTTTACTTTTTCTTGCTGATATATGAGCCCGATCAACAAGCGTCTATCAACCAAAATTTCAAAACTTGTTCAACTTGATATTGATATTGCTCAGGAGTCAGGACCTCTGTCAGCCTCCTGGACCTACTTCAGATTGTTTTCAGTCAACATGCTTATTAAATATGATTTAAGTCAATCTTGGGATTCAAAACATCCAACACAACGACGTACAAGAGTAAGAAAACCACCTGATAAACTAAAAAATGGCCTTGGAACAGAGCCAAGTGGTGCTCCACTTGTTTGCTTACAATGATTGTAGTGCTGATGTATTTTTAGGACTCTGAACGTCGGCTTATAAAAAATGAAATGTTTTTAAAAAATTGTAAGGCAAGTAATATTTATCTGAAAGAACTAAAATATTCAAAAGCCAAACACTATGAAATACATGAATTGGAACGAAAAAGCAACCCAAAAATCCAGCCTAATCACCGGCTCCTAAAA